AGAAATCAGCTCAGAATATTTCTCAAAACCTTTTGCTCGATATTGTTGTTGCAAAAGTACATTGGACGCATGAAATGTGGACAATGTTTTTTCCAACATATCATAGTCAGTTACTGTTTTCCCGTATAATTTCAGCACTGAGCAAATTCGAAATATTGCTGAATATTGTTCTCTCACTTTTTTAAAATCTTGGACACGTAATGACATCCATTCATGGCGAGCCCAGAGGATAATAACTGTTTTTGATGATCATACCTTTCTTTCAAGGCTTTCCAAAGATCCGCTGGATCTTTCACAGTTCGTATTCATTTTTTAACCCCTCATTCATAGGATGCCTTAGAAAAATCATGGCTCTTGCTTTATCTTGTATGGATGAATCATTTGGAAAAAATTATTGTTTTTTCTAATCCCCTTGCATCCAAATGGATTTCAGCATCTATTGACCATCAAATATAATTTTTTCCCGACATGTCAAGTGCCTCAAGCTCAAGCTTCACCAAGTTTGACATGGTAACTATAAAATACAACATCAATGCTTATATTTGAGAAAATTACTTATGCAATCATTCATTATTCAAAACAATCAGAACAACTAATAAGAAACACATTATACAAAGACCTAACACATAAAATATAAATTCAGCAGTATGATACAACATCGTGAAATTCCCAAAGCGTATATAATAATCAATATAATGGTAATTATAAATAATAGATCAAAAATTTTTTTCCTTTTCTTTTGAGGCGAATACATTTTAATATTTTAGAATGAGTGTTAATACATGAAGTGTAGTGTTATATATATATATATATATATAGGGTTCACATGAGAATAGTTCTCAATGAAAGAAATGAGAATAAATTATAGTCATTAGATCGAATGATCTAATGGTTAAAAAAAAGTCAAAATTATGCCTTCATTAGGGGTATTTTGGTCATTACTGTTACACATTACCAACTCATCACCCCCACACACACATAACACACACAACACACGCAGACACACACATGACACACGCATACACACATCAACACACACTTACACACTCTCTCATGCACTCTGTCTATCACACACAATTCACACACACACACACACACCTGTTACACACAGACCCGACCAGTTCGCCATTACCGGTCGTCGCCCGCCATCCACGGCCACCGCCCGCCATCACTGGCCGTCATCCGCCATCGCCGGCGGCCACCCGCAGCGTTCTCGCAGGCGCAACTCAACCATGACATCAGCACTCGTTGTCACGCCGTCGTCCGTCACGCCGCCGTCTTCTTCACGCAGATACCTCAG